TAGCCAATATACTTCAAAGCCTAAATATTGGTATTTGCTACCTGAGTACATGGTATTTTCATAGGAAGATTACTAGTTGGATACATCAGGTAGATTGTTTTTCTTCCTTGTTACATTTTTTTTCCACAGAAGGGTGTTTTCTAGGATATCAGAAAAATACCTGCTTTTGGCAAACTGGCATGACTGCCTGTATCCACAAACATGTTAGCGCAGTTGTGTTTTCTTACTAGGTTTCCTCTTCCCTGATAATACATAATTTCCATCCTATCCCTTTCCAGTGAAAACGGAGTTTCTGTGACCCTCACCCTTCTGTTTGTTGCTGTTGCTGAAGCTGGCTGCAATGTGCCTCAATTTGGACCTGCTGTCATGCTTAAATTTCATATATGCAGCAGTTGTACATATGCGTCCTGCACGTGAGGATTTGAGGTGATTTCCAGACTCCTCTATCACTGCTCAGTGTAGTGCGTTCATGAGACAAGCAGGACACGTGCTCACAGGAGTGTTTTAGACACACAGGTTTCACCAGAAACTTTGTTTCCTGTGTGACACTGGTCTCTACTTCTTGTCTGTCTCAATCACCCAGTCGGAGAATGACTAATTTGCAATTTGTTAAGTCATTACTTGAAAGTCTGAGCACAGGCAGAAGTGCATTTTCCTTCGGTTCCATCAAGACATAATCGTCTCGCATGCAATAGTTTAAACAAGCTATTTACCAACAGCTGCTTGCTCTGCACCTGCAAGGCTGTTAGAACGAGCCAGCACTGCTAAATGCGAATGTCCCCGGCCCTACGGCTCACAGTACATGCTTTATATCAGCTAGAGCATCTGAAACGAGGCAGCGTTCCGGAGCTTCCACATAAAAATGAGGAGGTTTTTATCTGTCTGCAAGCTCACCAAGCAGCACCACCAAGTCCCAGCCGTGTGGCAAATACCTGGCATGTTACATGTCATGAAATAAATGACGCAGCTGGTATTAGCAAAGCTTTATTTTTCATTYCCTACAACTCGGGGTAAACCAAGGCAGGTATCAAATAGGTCATTTCCTGTATTTCAGTAAGTCAGCGAGGGCTGCTAGGGGTACAGTCAGAAACGGTGCAAAATCAGAGGTACTGCGGCACACAGGATGGCAGAGGAAAGAAAACCAAAGCTGCTACTCATGCCTTTCCTATGGTAACGGTGCTTTGCGGCCTAGCTTGCTCTCTCGTGGCCCTAGACACACCACACCAGGCCCCACAAAACAGTTTCTGCCATAAAATGAGCGCACTTTAAATACAAGGAAGCTGATGAATGTAGCAGAAACAGAAACAGCATCAGGGTCATGTTTGCTGATCAGTGTTGCGGTTCTGAGGAAGCCGCACGCAGCCAAGGATTAAAACCWACCTGAGTATCGCAGGGAGTGCCTGGGGTGGTGCTGAAGGAAAAAACACCGTATCATGGAGCCAGGCAAGGGCAGCGCCTTCCACCTCGCATGGAATTCCTGTGTAGGGCTGAGAAATACTTTAAATTGTTTTAGTGCTGCTAGCATTGCTTTCTGAATGCACTCGTGCCACATCCAAACAAGCCTGACAGCCTTCACCATCCTGGGAAAATCATTACCTCCCATCAAAATGGAGAGCGGGCAAGATATAGCTTTATTTTTATTATTATTATTATTGTTATATATATATAAATATATATATTATATAATAATAATAATCAATAATAATCAATAATAATCAATAATAAATGATTGATGCAGCTAAAGAGCAATTCACTACATATATTATTGCAGAAAAATATCAGAGAGATGAGTCAGGAAGGGGTAGGAGTTGTGAACTCGATGGATATAGTCACTCTGCTGCTCCCCGAGCAGGAACACGCTATTCCCGGTACTTTCCATTACTGCAATTCCCAACGTACAGCACTTGCTGCACTGCGAACTCACTTTTTCCTAGGAGCACCGCTATGTCYTGCACTATTAGCCCGTTATTTCACAGTGCTTAAAAAAGTTTGACGATTTCCCATAGGCAAAATCTCATGAATTTTTTWAAAAATGTATATATACAGACATGTGCACACATATGTATGCACATGCATTCCCCGGTCACGGCAGCGGCGCCTCTCCCACACGGCTGCTTCACACAAGCTTCCTTCTTCCCCCTCGCGCCGCCATCTGCGCGCCCAGGCGGCCGTTGGGGCCGTTGCCGCTGCGGCCGTTGCCGCTGCCGGGCGCGAGCGCC